ACACTAAGATATAGATGACATAGGTCCTGTCCTCCATCCAGTCACATTCTCACTGAGGATTCCATCCGTAAGCCAGTGAAAAGTTGGGTGACAGTGTGAGAGCACAAGAAGCCCTGTCATGAGGCAGTGAACGATTCATTGTAGATAATGTGCTCTCTGGAGCTCAGAGCAGGGGCCTGAGCTCACTGCAGACTGATGTGGTCCGAGAGGACTTTATGGAGGGGGAGGCAGAGAGGGGCCACACCATGCAGGTAATTGGAATCACAGTCTTCTATGCTGCTGTATGTTGAATCTGTTCTGCCTAATGACCTGGTGGATGAGGTCACTGTCCTGACTTGCATTGGCTCTAGGCAGAATTCTGTAAGCCACTAAAGAAAGAAGGAATTAAAATAAAATTGGGAATGGGGAAATCATTTGCCCTTGAGTTGAGGTCTGTTTTTTAATGTTAAGATGCTGGAGAAGAAATGATTCCAAAAATCGTTCATCACTGTTTCTGATAGAAACCCCAGACAGGCCTGTTCACTCCTTGTGGTCCTCAGTGTCAGACCTGGAGTGACAGGTCCTGTCCCGCTCCAACCCCAGGCTCCCCACCCAAAGCTTCTAAAGAGCAGTTGGAGGTTTCCGCAATTCATTTTGTATCCCCAGAGAGTAGGACTCTGTGGGTTTTTACAGCGATTAGCTCTCTAATGCTGGCCCTGTTTCCATAGATACCCTATAAATAGAGGAACGTTGGCGACTTAGGCTTGCTAAGGCTCACTGTGACCCAGTCACCCCACTGAACCCTTACAGCCAAACCTTTGAGGGGGAGACAGAGGGAATTTCAAACCCAAGTGGGAGGAAGGGACATGCAGTCAGCTGCCAGGTGGGATAAATTAGCTGTAGGTTAGTGTGGCTTTTTAAGATACTTTCAGCTTTTTGAGGAGTTGTTAAGAACACAGGGACCTGTAGGAATTAGAAGCCATGTTGGCTGTTTTTAATCAGATGGTGGCAAGGACTCTGAACCCGAAGCCCTGTTCTTTTGGCCTTATGCAGCTGTGTTTGCAGATTTTGGAGCAAACTTCCTCTTTGGGGGACCCACACCCAGGGAGGAGAACAGATGCAGCCTAACTGTTTAGAGACCACAGGCGTCTCAGGAAGGATCTTTCAGAAGCCATTGAGTCCATTCTTTTTTCCGGTGAGGAGGATCTCACCCAGAGGAGATGGGGTCCTTCCTACCCTCAGAGAGAGTTCCAGGGAGGAGACAGCAGCCTCCCCTCACTTATCTCCCCATGTCTAGGTACCTATGCCCGAAGCTCTCTTTCTGCCTCACTTCCAGCCTCTGGGCTGTTCTGGGGGAGTTCTTGTTTGTTCTCATGGATCAGGAAAGCTCTGATTGTGCCCCACCTCTAACTCTGAAACATCTCAGCTCTTTTCCTAATACATGGCTTCACTTGGCTACCAAAAACGGTTTCTAGCAGTTGGGGAAAAGCAAAAGTTAGTGTGGAAAAGCAAGTGACATTTAGTAGCTGGAGCCTGTTAGTCAGAGCAGGTGGTGCTTTCTGCTGCGTTGGTGGCTAAGTTCCCTCAAGCTAGTCACCATGGTTTTCCTCATTTCCCAAACTTAAGGCTGGTTATGTGGATGTGCTGAGTTGTTGGTTTTCTTTCCCCCTCAAAACACTTGCCATGTTATAGCAAAACTCCTTAACCATCTCCTCCCTGACACCCATGTGCAGAAGCAGCCCAGCCCATGTCACCTGCTTTCTTGCCTTGCATCTTGTGAGGAAAACCCTTGCATTTGGAGCACACCCTGCCCCCCGTTACCCTTTGACTGTTTTGTTCCTTTGCTTTGTGCCTACCGCAGACTTCATCAGACACCTCCATGCCAGAGGTCCTGCTTTCCTTCACCTGCTAAACAGGTGGGGAGGTAGGACATGAAGGCCACAGTGTCGAAACGTCTTGCCCAAGTCCTACGTGTGACATGGACAGATTTACTGCTGCAGTTCAGGGGACCAAGCTCCCCTTTGCCTGGGCATTTGTTTTGTTTTGTTTTGAACCTGCCTTTGATACTGTCCTGGGATACAGGTAAATACTGTATCTACTTTAGTGTTGGGATCGGTGTGTGAGCCAGTGACGGTCAGTCAGAAGCTGGGGGTTTGCCTTTGTGACTTGAATGAGCCACTTAACTATGCTGGCCTCAGTTTTTTCACCTGCAAAATGAAGACACTGCTGCTGTGCCTGTCACATTGTCCCTCCCGAGGGTAGGCTAGCGTCAGGCTGGAGCGACAGCATAAATTGGAAAGCACTTTGAAAAATGCTGTTGTGTAATATTAAAAATAAATTGGCCAAGGATTTTAGGATCCAAGGCAGTATGGCAGACAGTGGCGGCTGCTGTCCCTAGCACCTCCACCCATTTCCTGGGGCTGCAGGAGAGGAAATGCCTCCGGGCTCCTGGACCTCTGGTGAGGCCTTTTGGAAGGAACTTTTCTTACCTGAGTGCATATAGAAGATTGGCCTCAGTGTTGGGGAAGCTAGGTTAGGCGTGCTGGAGAGAGGAGAAAGAGACCTGGAATAGAATGCTAGAAAGACAGTTTGTGATATGTGATGTGACCATTTGGCAGAAGCAGCTGGACAAATGCCAGAGCCAGCTGGCCCCATCCAGGACGCTGGAGGGAGGTCTGTTATCAGCTTGGGCATGAGGAAGAGAGAGGTGCCTTGGCTCATGCCTGGAGCCCGCGAATCTGGCCTTTTCTAGCCCGTAGCCGATTGTGTCCCCCAATCTTGGTTCTACCCAGAGTAGATTCAGGTGGTCTTGCCTCAGGGTGGCCCTGAGGGGATGGTGACTCCCATGGGAAACCTGGCATTGGGTAGCCTGACGTCTCACGGGCAGCTCCAGAATTAAATTCTTGAGAAGGAGTGGTGGTAGCCTTAATTTACTCATCTAAAAATGGAAATGTTATTGCTGTTGATTTTGTTGGTTTCTGGGAAAATCAAGTGAGATAATGCAGGAGAGAAAGCACATTGAAAACTGTAAGCCATAAGCCATTAGTTGTGATGATATACTTTATCTGGCCAGGAAAACGGGTGAGACAAGGGCCCCGCCCATTTGGAGGATTGTGGTGAGACTCAATGAGGTGAAGAGTGAAAGTCCTGACCTTGACCTTTTACACAAATACGCAGTGGTGTGTTTATTGCCATCCCGTGGAAGTGCGGCGGCCTACACTCGGCGCTGGGGTATAGAGTACCAGTGAGCGCGGGTCAGCTACTCGGAAGATCTGAGTGGCACCTTTTAGTTTCTACATGGTCTAAGTTTTTTGCTCTGTAACTTTGTTTGTAGAAAAAAAAAAGCCAGGAAGTGTAATTCCTTGGAATGTTTTAAAATGACGGAGGTTGCCTCATGCGATTAGCAGCTGTTCCTCACCCACGTGGCTCACGGAGCCCAAATGGTTGGGCTCAGAGTTTTCCCGTCAGGAGTTGCAGACTGGATTCTCACCTGGTCCTCCGAGTCCCAGCCCTTCTCCCTTTGGCCCTACAGCTCTGCCAAGGGCTCAGCCTGGCCAGGTAAATCAGCCCCCCGACAAGCAGCTGCCTGGAATTACTCCACACGTTGTCTCGCCCTGGCCTGTGGTCCAGCTGCCTCTCTGAGCAGCCCTGCCTGGGGAGCAGGTGGGGCATCTCAGCAGCAGAGCTCGGAGGGCCGGCTGTGGCCAGGGCAGCGCTGGGCCCCAGGCCCTCTTTGGTTTGTTCCAGTCTGAGGGGAAAGGCACTCACTTGGACAGCAGGTTTTGATATGTATGCTAAAGAAATGGTAACATTGCTGACTACACTAAAAGTATGCCCATAGAAGTTTGTTTATTTTTTAAGTTTATCGGTTTGTTATAAAGGACATGGAGGAACAGCCAAATGAAGAGGTACATAAGGTGAGGTCTGGAGGGGTCCCAAGTACAGGAGCTTCTGTCCTGAAGGAACTGAGGTGTGTCCCACCCTCCTGGCATGTGGATGTATTCTCTGACTCGGAAGCTCCAGTGATGTTTATTTTATTGCCAACTATATCAGGAATGAGATTGGCTCCAAATAACAGAAAATCATACTAGAATTGTATAGACAAAGCTAGGTTTATTTATTTCATGCAGCAAGAATCCCAAGATAGGGACTCACAACTGGTTGGGTGGCTCCTTAGGGCCATCCAGTTCCCAGGCCTGTCCTTTGGGCTCTACTGTGTGCGCGTGTGTACTTTCAAATCATGCCAGTCATCGTGTGGCAGGATGGCTGCTGCGTCTCCAATCTTTACCTCCACATTCCAACTGGGAAGAAGTAGGAAGGGCCAGGACCTTTATCAGGAAAGCAAGTCTTTCTAGAAAGTCTCACCCTGCTTTTCTTTGGCCAAAACTGTGGCTATTCCTAGCTGCAAGGGAGTCTGATGAAGCAAGAATTTTTAGCAAGGTGCGTGAAGGCTTTGCAGTTTGGTTGTTAAGAAAGAAAGGGGAAAAGATGTTGAGTGGGCAATTAGCAGTGTCTGCTACAACGGTATAGTCTGATTGTCTGACTCTGATTTTCCCACAGTGTTGCAGTGAGGCCTTTTTTGGAAATGGATGCCTGGTGGTCTAGAGGAGTCCGAGCAGCTTGAAGGAGTACCTGCCTTAGAAAGAGGGACGGTCTAGGGGTGGAGGAAAATCAAACCAGAGGGATACAGCCTCAGTGCTGCCTGCATGTGCCTCTGTGAGCCCCACACTAGTCACAAGGATCTCATGACCAGTAACCCTGAACCCATGTGTGGACTGGAAATGTCCTGCAGGGAGCCACGGGAGTGCATTTCTTTGGAATGAAAGGAGCAGGTCTGGGTTGTCACCTTTCTGCAAGGCGTGATCTTTTAGGTGTGACGGGCCATTTATAGGGTCCTCCAGATTCAGGCAGCTGTAGTAGCTACATTGATCACCCAAGAGCAGACTCCTCATTTCTGTCTGCACCAGCTGGGCATTCAGGAGCTTCCCACTCACCAGGGTCTTTTGTCTCTTCCTCTTCAGAAAATCCAGCAGCTCTCAGAGGGCTCCATGTTCAGCCACGGCCTGAAGCACCTGTTCCACAGCCGCCGCCGGTCACGAGAGAGGGAGCACCAGCCGTCTCAGGATTCGCAGCAGCAGCAGCAGCAGGGCGTGTCCGATCATGACTCCCCGGATGAGAAGGAGCGCTCCCCAGAGATGCATCGGGTCTCCTATGCCATGTCCCTGCACGACCTGCCCGCCCGGCCCACCGCTTTCAACCGTGTGCTGCAGCAGATCCGCTCCCGGCCCTCCATCAAGCGGGGCGCCAGCTTGCACAGCAGTGGGGGCAGCAGCGGGGGCAGCAGCCGGCGCACCAAGAGCAGCTCCCTGGAGCCGCAGCGTGGCAGCCCCCACCTGCTGCGCAAGGCCCCCCAGGACAGCAGCCTGACCGCCATCCTGCACCAGCACCAGTGTCGGCCCCGTTCCTCTTCCACCACTGACACGGCCTTGCTGCTGGCAGATGGTGGCAATGTGTACCTCTTGGCTGAGGAGGCCGAGGGCATCGGGGACAAGGTGAGGTGGGGCAAGATGCGGGCCTTTCAGGCAGGGGGCTACTCAGAGGCAAGTGCCATTTTGGGGTGTAGGGGGTGCTTCTGGACCTGGGGAGCTAAGCTGAGGGCCCTGGTAATGGGTATGGACACCCTGCTGCCTGCAGCACTGTCTGCTTAGTTGAAACAGTCAGAGGTAGACTAAGCCAAAGCCAGAGGTGGCCCCAAACGGCTCATTTCTGTTTTTTCGCAATTATATTTTGCTCAGGCTGATATTAATTTTGGTTTGTTTCCTGTAAACATGCTGTTGAGAGGCAGTCAGTGAGATGGTTAAGAGCACAACCCTGATTCTGCCTCTTACCAGCTGCATCAGTCCCTTAACCTCTTTGTACCTCAGTTTCCCCAATTGAAAATGGGGATAATAATAGTAGAGTTGCTGTAGGATTAAATGGGTCTATATGTATAAAATACATGGAATGGAGCCTGGTACAGTAGCATTTTTATTATTATTACCAACCAAAGAAGATAGAGGAGGAATCCATGAAGTGCTGTTTAGTAAGGGGACAATCTAGTTTAGTACTTCCTGAATGTCTCCACTCATTTATTCATGTAACAAGTGTTTATCGAATACTCGTAATGGTGCTGTAAGAATGAACAAGCCAGAGGTGCCATCCTCACGGAGCTCAGTGAACAGGGGAGACAGCTGGGTGATGGGACTGTGCTAGAGGCCGTGGCAGCCTCAGGAGAGAGTGAGGCACAGAAAGCAGGAGGCAAATTCAGAAAGCATTTGGCAGAATCAAGAGTACAAGTTGAGAAGTGGATGTGGAAGATGGAAGATGATTCCAGGGTTTAGGGACAGGACATTCTCTAGGTGAGGCAACACAGGGGGAAGGAGCACGTTTTGGGGGAAAGTAATGAATTCAGCTTTGCCGTTGTCCAACTACTGAGCACCAGTTGGCAGTGGGGTTCATGGGGCGAGGCCTGGGCGGGGGCTAGCGCCCTGGAAGTAAGCACCGAGCATGAAATTGTGGGTGTAGATGAGCCCCTGGAAGGACATGTGTTGAGTGAGAAGGAGACCAAGGACGGATCTGACATACAAGCGACAGAGCAGCCAGATATGTAGGAGTAAACTTGGAGAGAGGACTCCGAAGCAAAAGGAGACGGGAAATGGAAGGAGGAAGTAGGCAACAGAGGGAAGTGTGACGGGGTGACAGGTCAGATCTGGATTTGGAAATGCAGATGGGTAGCATCAAGCAGTGGAGGGGTCACTGGGAACCAACAAGAAACCAGTTTCAGGGCATTGAGGAGATGGTGGAAGGGGAGGCAGCATGGGTAGCTGATCTGGGGAAGAGAAAGGCCAGTGATATCGCGTTGAGGCAATTTGGTTTGGGCAGGAAGCGTTGCAGATCACATAGGGCCTAGTAGGCCAGGAAAAGGGCTTTTGACTTTTTTTCTCAAGTGAGACGGGAAGTCATGAGGTTTTATGCAGATGAGTGACACTTTTTTAAGAAGACCACTCTGGCTGCTGGATGGAGAATACGCCATGAGCCAGGGCATGAGCGTGGAGCCCAGCCAGAAAGCTGCTGGAATGCTCCTGGGGCGAGGTCACGATGGCACGCAGCAGGGTGGGAGGGCTGGAGGTAAGGAGAAGTCACTGGATTCTGGATTTGCTTCAGAGATCAAGCTACATCCATTTTGTATAGATTTGGGGCCTGACAGGGAGCAGGCAAAGATGGCATGCATGTTTTTGGCCTGGCAGCTGGAAAGAAGAAATTGCATTAACTGAATTGGGGGAAAACGACAAATGGAACAGATATTTGGCAAGGGCTGCTGGGGTAGAAATCGGAGTAGGTTTTAGACATGCTACATTTGAGATGGCTATTAAACACCCACATGGAAATGCTAAGCAGTCAGATGAATAAATCTGGAGTCTCAGGGAGAGATCCAGGCTGGCGGCATACATTTGGGAGTTGTCAGTATATAGATAGTATTTAAAATGATGGCACTGGACCATTTGTGAGCAGAGTTTCAACTGTGAAGAAGTCTGTTCTGAGAGTGAGATCTGGATGTATCGCCAGTGGATGTGTCTCCACTCCACGTGGCCTTGTGAAGAAGGGACTCCGAGGCGCCGGCACAGCCTTCAGCCCTTAACGGGCAAGCGCTCTGCGTGTAAAGCAGCCAGGCCCACCTTTCACTGCTGAGTCAGTGAATACATTTAAAAAATCAAATTAGAACAATCCTATTAAGTGAAGGTCTCTGGTACTACAGCTACTTTACGAAGAGAGAGAACGTGAACCTTGTTGTCTCTGCCACTGGAGCAGATGGAGCATGTGGGCAGTGGGCACTGTGGGAAGCTGGGAAGGGTTGTAGATGTTTGCTGACTGAGAACACTGGGGCTGGGAAGCCCCTCCCGAGGCTTTTCCATGTGGCTGGTATTTGGCCTTCACGTTACCCAGAGGGAGATACCCAGAGGGCAGGCAGGGTTCTCTTCTTGCTGCCGTTCAAGACCAGGCCCAGAGACTCTCGGGTGAGCTGACTGGGGGATGGTTCCCTGGGTTCAGGGTGGTGATGGGGGAAATGGTTGTTCCTGTGATTGTTTTCTGTTCTTATTTAGAACTTTCAGCTTTCCAAAGCTGCGTCATGTGCACTGCCTGGTTAATCTTAATAACATCCCTGTGAAGGAATCAGAGCAGGTATTATGATCTCCATTTCATAGATGGATAGACTGAGGCTTAGAGGAATCAAGAGGCTGCTTGTTTGAGGGTACAAACAAGCTAGTTCATGGTAGAGAGGAGACTAAATCCCATGTTTCTAGCGTGTCCACAGATCAAACTCATCTGAAGTCACCCAAACCACTAGAGATCGTTTTATGCAAGATCGTTGGGAGCAGGTTTGCCTCAGCCCAGGGAGGGTGACTTGATCTCTTGGTTGCCATTTCCTTTCAATGATACAACTTTCCTAACCTGGAGCTGTCCCTCCATGGTCAGGCAGGTGTGGCCCTGGAGGTCCTGAGGAGACGGTGTACTTCCCGGTCAGGGAAGGGGCCCTGCTCTATCAGCTGACTTCCCCAGGCCCGGAGGCCATTGGTTGGTGTGAGAAGCTATGGTGGTTCCACCCTGGTCTTTGGGCATGAATAGAAGGCATTCTCTTCTCTCTAGTAAACACAGCCCCACATGCTCTCTGCAAGCTCCCTGGTGATTACTAGCATCTATTTTTAATTCATAAGCCTCTCCCACGACACACACCCCTTGCCATTGTTTAGAATGCACCAGCTGGCTTTCGGACCAGAGCCCTGTCCAGAGTCCTGTGGGGGGTTGAGTTATCAAAACACCCTGGAGGCAGCTGGAGTTACTGGGCTGTCCTGGAGAGGCTTATCCAGTCCCCAGCCCAAGAAAGTAGGGGACCTGGAGCCCTGAGGAGAGCTTGGGTGCCCACCGTCCCAGCAGCAGTTCAGCCTTGGTGACATAGTCTGGTTGTCATTCATTCCCTCCAAGCCCAGTTAGCTGTCTTTGAGTTTGTGCCTCAAATGATTTCCCTTTAAAACAACAGAAAAAGTTGTCATCTCAGCCTCTGCTTTCTATTATTTGTGTGACACTTAGCAAGGTAACTACTCTGTCTTATATCTATAAAGTGGGGGAAAATTATCATCATTTGTTGGCACACTGGGGTGTTGGCAGGTGACTAGAGAAGGCAGGTGACATGACTTCAGGGTCCCCATCAGTGTGTAGCCTAACTCCTGGGAAACCCGGAGGCTGCAGAGGAGCCACTGGTCACATGTGCAGTGACAGTGGATGTGAGCTGCCTTGTTCCTCATGAGTTCCTACCCTCTGTGTTTTCTTTTTCCTTTGCTGGGCAGCAGTTCCTAGAAAATATGTACTCAGGCACACTGAGTCACCCTTTCGTCCTGCCTTCATTACTGGGGAGTGGGTTAGCAGGGGCCGGCGGCCGGTGTCCCTTTTCTCCTACTCCTTCCATGTCTGGATTGCTTCCCTTTCAGCCTTGTTCAAAGCCTGGCTGTCACCATGTTCATCCTGCCCCTTCTGGGCTGTGCATGGTGGGTCTGTGGAGAGGGCTAGCACAGGAGTGCTGGGCTTACAGCTCGCTCTGCCGAATAGCCCCCGACCTTGCCCTGCTCTTCCCTTCCCCTTCTGTGCAGTGTGGTTGGTCCCCTCTGAGGATAAACTGCAGTATGGGGTGGGTGCTGGGAGCTCACAGAGGACATCTGGGCAGCCATAGTAGACTGGCATGGAGGGGCCCAGTGGCAGGAGGGCTTTTACTAACAGGCCCGCCTGCTGCCCCGTGGCTTTGAGGCAGGCAGGATGGGAGAGAGGACTATGTGCTGGGGAGTGAGGAAGTGTAGAGATGATGTCATGGCTGGACTTCCCTGTGGTCTCAGGGACATGTTATCTCCAGGCCCCAGCTGGGGAAACCAGTGGCATTTGGCTCATTACCTAAAGCAGAGCAGACTCTGGACACCCCCACCAGATTCATCCAACAACAAGACTCCTCTGTAAATAAGCACCCCTGGGTACTCCAAGGGCATGGCAAGTGGGGGGCCGCCCTTTGCCCTGGGCTCTTGCCAAGAAGACAGATCTTGGCAGGCGCCAGGGGCTCTGGTTTACTTATGTCTGGGAGCCTGCTGGTTCAGAGGTGGGTGGGGTTGGCTCTGCACAGAGAGGTTTCCAAACATGTCCCCTTGGCAGCTGGGGGAGGTGAGGCCATTCATCTGTGAGGCCTGCTAATGTGTCTGAATTTGTAGGCCAAGTTACATGGGAGGCCGAAGGAGTCCCTCGGCCTGTCCACGCAAATGCATACACCTTTAGAGCCTGTGGCGCTGTTCCCGTTCACAGTCACCCATGTACCTGCTCGAGTCTGCCAGCCTGAACTCACATCCTGCTGCTGGGGAGGACAGCTGCCTTCTCTCTTCCCGCCTCCACATCTCATCCTATCTCCCCTTCTCTCCTCCTCCCTGCGTGCAAAGGCTCCTCAGGCAGAGCAGGGCCAGAGGCAGCCAGCCCAGCAGCC